ATGTTGGTCCTGGCAGGAGGGCAGTAGAGACGAAGGAGGCAGGGCCCATAGGAGCCACAGCAGATGTTGGTCCTGGCAGGAGGGCAGTAGAGACGGAAATGCTGGGGAATAAGGGCTGGTCTCTGGGCTCCTGCTGAGACCCATGGGTGCTATGGCCAAACCAGCAGATGTGACTCAGCAATTCAACAAGAAAACTCACTCCACACTCCTACCCCAAGCCTCAGTTGCCCCAGCCATGAAAGAGGAGTAAAGTCATCATTCCCAGAAGTATGTGACAGACATGAAGAGATGTTGCCAGTGAAGTGTCTGACGTCACCAGCCTGCTTCCCTTCCTTCCCCCCTTCAGGCTCTGTATTAGGCTAGTGGGGAAAGAGTCTCTTTCTCTTTAATAATGACAAACACTGCACTCACTCAGTGAATGTCCCCAGTAGTCCCCATGAAGTGACACTCCTGTCATTCTTCCTGGACAGAAGCTTGACCTGGGACAGAGTGAGCAGGAGGGGGGAGGAATGTATCCCTCCCTCCCCCAGCCCCATCCATGGCTCAGCATCCATCTCCCTTCCACACTTGATCAGACCAGGACCTCCCAACAGAAGGACTCACCAATCCTGTTATTCGTGTGTTCCGTGGATACTCGGGGCTCTGGAGGTTCCCTGGGGGCCAAAGGATTCCCAGCTGTGCTTTCTTCCAGCAGTGGCAGGCTCTCCAGACAGGCCGCCCCAACATTGGTACAAGTCTCCACAGCTGGAGGGTTCACTGGGCTCGACTTGTGTCCTGTGATGGGATCTGTCACTGACTCACTTCTCTTCAGCTGCTGTGAACAGGAGTAAGAGCTGAGGCAGGGTTCCCTCAACGCCACCAAACTGCCAGGGAGCTTTAAAGCTGCCTCAAGCCACATGACAGCATGAGGCACTTGTGTGTGGCATTCTCAAGAATTTTTTTTTTCATGGTTATGTTTGTTTTTTAATTGAGATAATGTCTCACCATATAGCTCTGGCTGACCTAGAACTTAATATATAAACCAGGCTGGCCCATGAACTCACAGGGACTCAGGCTGGCCCATGAACTCACAGGGACCCAGGCTGGCCCATGCACTCACAGGGATCCAGGCTGGCCCATGAACTCACAGGGACCCAGGCTGGCCCATGCACTCACAGGGACCCATCTGCTTCTCAAGGGCTGGGATTAAAGGTATACAGTCAGCTATTGCTTTGTCTTTGTGTGACAGTCCCCTGTCGTCCATCCTGGCTGGCCTCAAACTTGCTATACAGCTGGGGATGACCTTGAACTTTTGATCCTCCTGCCTTCATCTCCCCAACACTGAGTGGGGGGTAGAGGTGTTACCATGCCCAGTCTGTGTAGGGCCAGCTTAGGGTTTTGTGCTTACCAGGCAAGCACTCTACCCACCCCACTGAGCCACATCCTCAACTCACTCTGTGCTCAGCAGCAGTCAGTGACTCACATACTCAGCTACTAAGAGTGATGTGCCACCCTCACAACCACCCGCACAGCTGTAATATTAGCACCTGCCTCTCTTACAGATGGAGAAACTGAGGCCTGGAGGAGTGGGGCAACCAACTCACCCAGGGCCACACAGACAGTAAGTTTCTAGCCAAGATCTAAATGTTGAAGTCTAGGCTCACCACCTTCTGGTACCTCTTCACTCCCAAATTCTGGGGAGAGAAGTTTTAACTGCATCCTAACACAGTTTTAAAAAACAAAAGCACATCTTTAGAAATGTGTTGGTTTCTCAAGTTTATGAGTTCAGTACAAAGGGAAATGAGACACCTGGTGTGTGACATTCACCTTCAGTCTTCAAAAGGACCCAGGTTGAGGGATTCAAAGAACAGAGCTATGTAATCTTGGTTATTCTTTTATGATAATTTAAAGGCCAGGGCTGATGATATAGCTCACAATTGTAGTGTTCGCCTAGCACTCTGATTTGATTCCCAGGACAGGAAAAACCAAACCAAACCATACCAAACAAACAAGCCTCACTAATTTTAGCCAGGCATGGTGCAAGCCTGTAATCCTCACACTTGGGAAGTGAAAGCAGGAGGATCAGAAGTTCAAGGTCATCCTCAGCTGCATAATGAATTTTCAGCCAGTCTGGGCTACATTAAGACCTTGTCTCAAAAATAAACAAATAAGGAACTGGAAAAACAAAACCCAGTGGTTGAAAGCATTGGCCGCTCTTCCAGAGGACCATGGTTTGGTTCTCAGCACCTACACAGTGACTCACAACCATCTCTAACTCCAGTTTCAGGGGATCTGATGCCCCTTTCTGAATGCACGTGGTACAGAGACATACATGCAGGCAAAACATTCATACACAAAAAAATAAAATTAAAAACAAAAAGAGTAAACTGAGAAAAAACGTAGCTGTTATGAAAGAGAGAGAGAAAGGGGCGGGGTAGAAAGAGAAAGAGAGATAAGCAATTTGCTCAATGGAAAAAAGGCAAAAACTGTGTGAGCCATAAGCACCTACCACATGGCCTCAAGCAGGTGCCTCATCCTGAACCCCTCCCCCATCCCCCCTCAGCTTCACCCCACCATCACACGTCCCTGGGCAGCCTGACAACGGACAGGTCTCCTCCAGAACAAGCTTAAAGAGGGTTCAGCAGCTGGGTGGCAGTGGCACACGCCTTTAATCCCAGCACTCGGGAGGCAGAGCCAGGCGGATCTACAGAGCGAGATCCAGGACTGGCACCAAAACTACACAGAGAAACCCTGTCTTGAAAAATGGAAAAAAAAAAAAAAAAAAAAGAGGGTTCAGCAAAAGCACAGGCCCTGCCAAGGCCTGCACCTGGCACCGGCACATGTGGAGCACTCTGTAAGAAGTGATGCAAGTGTCCCCAAAGGAGACTGCTAGGGGACCGGGGTCCAGCCCCAGTTCTGAAGGGTTCTAATAGAGTCACCAACTGGGTAACCCCTAACTTGTCCGATTGCCATTTCCTCTTTAACTAAATGTGAGAAGACTACCAACTCCTGAGAGTCAGGACTCTCTGAGGTAACTTCTAAAAAGCACAAAGAAAGGTGTCTAGCAAGCCAGATGTGGTGGTGCACACCTGGATTTCAAGGTCAGCGTGGGCTGCCCAGGGAAAGGCTGAAAAGAGGGCAGGGGAGGGAGCAGGAGTGCCTAGCAGATAGTAATTGCTCAACACATGCAGCCAGCTTGGCAAGCCCTTGCTGCTGGTGGTGTATGTCATTTAGCTCAGAGGGCAGGCCTCCCAGAGTAAAGAGAGAGAAATAATCACAGCCTCCCTCCAGACCAGACTTAGTACCTCAAAGTGGCCCAAACCAAACTGCTGTCTGCAATCCCTGCTGGAAATCCCCTGGGGCTGAGCCAGGAGCTGGAGGTTGCTGTGAGGTGGGGCTCTCTGTCCCTGGCCAAACCCTACCATGGGGCCCCAGGTCAAAGCCCTGGGCTCCTAGCTTCTCGACCTGGAAGCCTGGGTGCCAGGGAAGGGGCTAGTTCGCCTGTCTTCCTATGAGCCCAGCAGCCCTGAAAGCACAGATCTGTGAAGAAAGAAGTCAAAACAAGATGACAGAAGCTGGAGGGTGGGGGTGGGGTGGGGGGTGTTGGAGATGGCACTTACAGCTGGTTTTTCAGTAGGTCTGAAATCTGGAAAAAAAAAAAAGGTAGTGATGTCACCACGTCACCAACGAGAGTTTGACACCCCTCCAGCACTCGCCATCTGTTAACAGACAACACCCTAGGATCTCAGTGGGGCTGAGCCTTGCCCACCCCGGGGCTCAAGCTCCCAGGCTGGCAGTAGCTAATTTCAGGATGAGCCCCTGGCATGCCTGCAGCCAGTTTCTGGAGGAGGAGTGAGCTGGGGCCTCCCTTCCACAAGCCAAAGGAGCCCAGGCTGCAGCCCTCAAGGGCACTCCTGCTCTGTCTGCCTCACTTCTCTTTGAACCACCCTGAGGTGGCATCTGAGGGCTCTGGAGATGCCTGGGCCACAACTCTCAGGACCCAACCTTTCTCTGCTCACCTCAGCCCCTGCCATTCACCCCTGTATCCTTTTGTCTTAAAGACTAGCTACCCAAGAACATGGTAACATTTAACCATAGCTCACCAGCCACCTGAGAAAGGAGGCGGCAGCCACATTACCAATGCAAGCTAGCCCAGGCCCACCATGAAACATATTATAGGGGGACAGAACTGTTACTGAGTCCCAGGAGGCCACCCAGGGACCCTGTAATGCCAATCAGGTTCACACTGACAAGGCAACCACGCCAGGGAAGGACAGCATGCCAGAGGAGCTGCTTCCAGAACATGCTTTCTGGCTCAGTAGCTTGACCCCAAATCCTATTTGACATGTGCACAGCAGATTAACCGACAACAAACTGAAATGTCATGAGGCCACTGCAGCTTGGCATGAGCTCGTCTTGCAGGGAAATAGACTGAAGTGATGCTCAGAACAACTCCCTCATAAAATGACACGACCAAGTCTCAGGTTAGCAAATGTGCCTTGCTGATGTAACCTGGTAACCACTGTCCCCAGAAGAATGGTCACTTTGGGAAGTCGTGGCTTGTTCTCTTGAGGTAGCCACTAACCACCAATCCGAGCCACTGACACTTCAGGTACACTCTGCCATGAGACATAAGGAGTTCGGTTTGATGGGTGTGTTTTTTAAATTTTTTTATTATTCTCTATGTGTGAGTGTTTTGCCTGCAGGTGTGTCTGTGCACCTCACGCATGTCTGGTACCCAAGGAGACCAGAAGAGGTGTCAGATCTCCTGGAACTAGAATTACAGACAGTTGTGAGCCCCCATGTGGGTGCTTGGAATTGAACCCAGGTCCTCTGGAAGAGCAGTCAGTGCTCTTCACCACTGAGCCATCTCTCCAGCCCAGGGTTTGCTTGTTTTATTTGTCTGATTTTCATTTTGTGGGGCAAGGTTTAACTGACTGTTTTAAAAGCAACATCAGTGAAACTAAATCTTTGTCCTTTGGAAGCAATCCTGAGTTTTGCAATCTGTCAACTGACATGTGGTGCCAAGTCATTGTGGGAACCTGGAGAAGAAAAAAGTGTGCGCCCGAGTAGCAAGAAAAGAATCAAGATGCTGAACTCCTCCGTCTTGAGAAAGAACAAGATGCTAAACTCCGTCTTGAGAAAGAACAAGAAAGATGCTGAACTCCGTCTTGAGAAAGGCTTGTGAGCTGGGGCTGGGATGCTGCATGGAAGGAGGCGCTGTCTCTTTATAGGGCTTTCTGGCTAGGACCCTTGGTGCCTTTGAACCAGGGAACACTGCCCCCCATAGGGACCACACCCTCAGGAAGTCACACTAATGAAGACAAAAGCAGGAGTGTTTATAATTACTTCAAAATTGAAAAGATGCCAAGTGCCAAACAATAGTGTGGCTCAGCCAGCTGCTCAACACCTCCTTGGAGGGAAACCAGCTCTGCTTCACAGTTCTAAGACTCAGCCTTTTTATCTGGGAAATGGGACAGACCTGGCCAACTTCTGAGACGTTTAGGAAGATAGAATAGAGATCTCAAAACAGCGGGTGAGGCTGGAGGTGGGGGATGGGGAGCAGGGCAGGATTAGTGTGGAACCATTGTCTGTTAAGTGTGAAGGGCTCTGTTCCCAGTGCAAGTATGTGCACACCACACACACACACACACACACACACACACACACACACACACACACACACACGCACGCACACACGCACGCACGTGCACACGCACACAGTAGAATTTCTGTGAGAAGTCATCTGGAGAAAAGTGTGTGATGAGCACGGCTCTGTGCTCTGTGGTTTTCCTCCTACGAGTCCAGAACCCTGGTCTCATTGTACAAAATAAATTTTAGACAAGTCCCAGTAGAGGGAATCCTGCAAAACATCTAACCAGTGATGTCAAAGGCCACTTAGGTCAAAAGGAAGTCTGAGAGGCTGTAAACAGGCCAGGGGAGCTTAAGATGTCTGACTGAATGGGAGAAGGGTCCCTGACACCTTAAGAAACAATAAGTAAAGAAAGAATAAAGTGTGGCTTTTGTTACTTAATCACGATACATTGAGGCTAGAGAGATGGCCGAGAGGCTAAGAGCACTGGCTGCTTTTCCAGAGGATTGGGATTCAGTTCTCAGCACCCACATGGTGGTTCACAACCTTTTTAACTACAATTTCAAGGGATCCAGCGCCCTCTTCTGGCCTTAGTGGGCACCATGCATGTGAGCAGTTACAGACATACAAGCAAATGCCCATATACATATTTTAAAAATTAAAAAAAGCAGGGTGGTGGTGGTGCACACCTTTAATACCAGCACTCGGAGGCAGAGGCAGGCAGAACTCTGTGAGTTCAAGGCCAGTCTGGTCTATAGAGCGAGTTCTAGGACAGGCTTCAAAGCTACACAGAGAAACCCTGTCTCGAAAAACATAAATAAATAAATAAATAAATAAATAGATAGATAGATAGATAGATAAATAAATAAGCAAGCAATACATTACTGTATATTTATTCAACTGTGATAAATGTACCACTCTAATATAAGAGGTCAATAATAAAATCAGCTGGGTATGGGCACACTGGAACCTTTATTTTCTCGGTTTGGGGAGGGAAGTAAGACTGGTAACTAACTGAGGATGACCTTGAACTCCTGATCGTACTGTCTCACCTTGCAAGTGTGCAGCATCACATCTGGCTTTGAAATAGATTCCCACTATGTAGCCTGGGCTGTATGATTACACACAGACCCACCTGCCTCTGCTGGGATTAAAGGCATACACCACCTGCCTCTGTCCCTCGAGTGCTGGGGCTCCAGGTAGGTACCACCATGCTCTGTTTTGAGATGCTGACAACCGTCCTCTTTTCTGGAACCCTTCCAGGTCATCTCTCCACCGAGGGAGCCAACTGACTAAGCCTGCCTGGTTCCCAGTTGCAAACGTCTACATCGGGCGGTCCTGTCCCCCACAGCTGCAGGGGGAGTGGCAGGGAGCGCTCAGGAGGAAAGGAACAGAGTTCTTCTAAAAAGTAAAGTCTTGAGCTGGGCGTACACCTTTAATCCCAGCACTTGGGAGGCAGAGGCAGATGGATCTCTATGAGTTTTATACCAGCCTGATCTACAAAATGAGTTCCAGGACAGCCAGAGCTATTACACAGAAAAACTCTGTCTTGAAAAAACAAACAAACAAAAAACAAACAAAAAAAAATGAAGTCTCTTTAGAACTTTTTCAAGTTAAATTATTGCCAAGGGAAGGTGCTCAGGACACCTATGTGAAGCCCCAGATGCTACCACAGCTTAGACACTCTATGACAGGAGAAAGAAAAGATAGATTTCAATTCTCAGAAACAAGCACACACTAACATCAAGGTCTGAAAAAAAAAAAAAAAAAAAAAAAAAGAATCTAATCTGGGAGGTGATGGCCCACGCCTTTGATCCTAGCACTCAGGAGGCAGAGGCAGGCAGATTTTTGAGTTCAAGGCCAGCTAGGTCTAAAAAGCAGTTTCAGGACTGCCAGGGCTACATAGACAAACCCTGTCTTGAAAAGCCAAACAATAAATTAATTAATTAATTTTTTTTTTAAATTTAAAGGCAGGATCTAGAAGGCCCCAGCATCTATCAACAGCCCTTTACAACCCTGTGTTCCCTGAAGAAGACCCGAAGCGGATCCTGCCAAGGGCAGAGTTCAGATTGCCCAAGTGCTCTTCCCCTAAAGCCACAGCTTTAGCCTGCCGGACCTTATTTGTCGGTTTCCTTGCTTTTTGGAATAATCACAATATTCTCGTAAATCCATCCGGCAGCCTAGGATCCAAGTCCAGGACATTCTGTACAGTGGGGGCCCCGGGGAGGCATCTCCTGAGTGTTCCAAAGGCGGCGCTGAACCCTCCCCGCCACGCCCACTACAGAGGCAGAGGCAGGACAGCCCCAGTGCAGGAGTTTGCAACTGGGAACCCAGCAGGCAGAGTCAATGGGCTCCCCAGCCTGGAAGGGCTCCAGAAAGGAGGACGATCCCCAACACTTCAAAAGAGCATGATGGTACACATCTGGAGCCCCAGCAACTTGGGAGGTAGAAGCAGGTGGGTCTCTGTATTCGTGCCAGCCATGGCTACAGAGTGAGAACCGGTCTCAAACAAACAAAAAATATATAAAAAAGACACAAGTTCAAGGCTAGTCTCAGTTACATGACATGTTTGAGGACACCTGAGCTATGTGAGACCCTATCTCAAAAAATCAAAAACAAACAAAAAAGGTATTGCCAACTCAAGAGGACAAGGACGTGTCCTGAGTGATTCCTGCTTCTCAGCTCTGGGGTAGTGACCAAGAGTCTGCTACAATGATGGCAACATTAAGATAGTGAAAGAAGCCAGGCGGTGGTGGCTTAATCCCAGCACTCGGGAGGCAGAGGCAGGCGGATCTTTATGAGTTCGAGGCCAGCCTGATCTAGAGAGTAAGTTCCAGGAAAGGCGCAAAGCTACACAGAGAAACCCTGTCTCGAAAAACTAAAAAAAAAAAAAAAAATAGAGAAAGAAACCATGAATCCACAGAGACATAAATACACTCACCAGGAAACAAAAGCATGATAGAAAGCAGAACAGGTTATTGACACAGTCTCAAAACCCTCCTTCAACGGTAAAGCCATTATCAGGTGCAGCCTGGCAGATGGACGTTCAAGAGTGTAGAGACCCACAGAGGTTTCCTAGTGAGAACCTACTCGGGGTCTGAGAATCTGAGTTCGCTTTACCCAGCAGAGCTGCATAAGGGAATGACTGGACCAGGGGTGTGGTTACCAGGTGTTTGGAAGGGTTTGCACTTGGCTGTGCAGTGTGCTTTGAGCTAGGTCTTTTGCCCTGCCCCTTGGCATTGTTATAAAAAGCCCTTTTGAGGGGGCAGAAGGAGCCAGTGGATTTTGATCCAAGTCCTCCCGAAGCTATTCTGTGTTTCTGTCTGTCTCCTCTCTGCTATCTTTCTATCTAAAGGGGTTTTTTGTTTTGGTTTGGTTTGTTTTTTCAAGACAAGGTTTCTCTGTGTAGTTTTGGTGGAACTCACTCTGCAGACCAGGCTGGCCTCGAACTCACAGAGATCCGCCTGCCTCTGCCTCCCAAGTGCTGGGATTAAAGGCGTGTGCCACCACTGCCCGGCTTCTCTAAGTTTCTTATTTTATTCTATCTAAGTTTCTCCTCCTCCTAGGAACCCTTTAAAAGGTGGGAGCTGGCCTCCCACGCAAGAATGCTCCAAGCACCAGAAAAGCAACAATGGAAGCCTGGCACAAAGCTCCCCAAAGAGCCAGTGTCAAAGACTGACACTCAAGTCCATTTTCAGTGAAATACTCGACTGAGCCAAGGTCAGGACCACAGGCCGGATCAGCTCATGACTCTACTTGTTGTCAAGGCTGTGATACCAAAGGAAGAGCCTGGGAACTGACCCACATGAGAGGGAACCCCACAGAGCTGCTTACCAATGGCAGCATGGGATCCAAGCCAAAGACATTATTGGGACACATCAAGAAACCCAGTCTGGTCATGTGTGGTGGCACACACCTTTAATCCCAGCACTGGGAGGCAGATGCAGGCAGATCTCTGTGAGTTCAAGACCTGCCTGGTCTACAGAGCAAGTTCCAGGACAGCCAGAGCTACACAGAGAGACACTGTCTCAAAAACCAGGAAAAAAAGAATAAATATCAAACCAACAAGCAAACACAGTCTGGCCTGAGCACTGACTGGTGGTGACAGAACAGGCTGAATTCTCTGATTCTGATGGTCTTATTGCAGTGCTCTGGTTATTATGAAATGCACAGGGAGGTATTCAAAGATGATAAGAAATCGAGCCTGGTAAGATACTCCCAGAACTGTTTTGGAAGAGGTAAGTTCTCCGTACTGTGTTTACAACATCTAGAAATCTGAAATTCCATCAGAGCAAAACAATTTTTTTAGCCTCCATCTTCCTGTGATAACAGCAAGATAGAGCTGGAGAGACGGTGCCATGGTTAAGAGCACTACCGCTCAGCCAGGCATGGTGGCGCACACCTTTAGTCCCGGCTCAGGAGGCATAGGCAGGTGGATGTCTGTGAGTTCAAGGCCAACCTTGTCTACAAGGTGACTTCTGAGATAGCCTGGGATACATAGAGAAACGCTGCCTTTAAAAAAGTAAAAGAACGCCAGGTGGTGGTGGTGGTGGTGGCGGCGGCGGCGGCGGCGGCGGCGGCGCATGCCTTTAATCCCAACACTGGGGAGGCAGAGGCAGGTGGATTTTTGTGAATTCGAGGCCAGCCTGGTCTACAAAGCAAGTTCCAGGACAGCCAGGACTGTTACACAGAGAAACTCTGTCTCGAAAAACAAAAACAAAAACAAAAACAAAAACAAAAAAAAAGGAAAAAGAAAGAAAAAAGAAAAATGACAAAAAAAAAGCACAAACTGTTCTTCAAAAGGACTCTAGCTCAATCCCTAGCACCTGTGTCAAGTGGCTCACAACCACCTGTAACTCCCTGAAAGTAACTGTACTCACACTCACATTCACACACCACACACACACCCATACCTGCCCCCATACACACATCCTTAAGAATAATTTCAAAAAACCGTCAATGAGGACTGAGGGGAAGGACTGATGGACTGAAGGCTGGGGATACGCCCAGCTGAAGAGTGCTCGCCTAGCATGTATGAGGCCATGGGTTCGATCTCCGGCTACGCATCAACTAGGCATGTCAGCAGGATTCCTGTAATCTGAGTACTTCAAAGGCAAGAGTTAGAAGTTCAAGGTCATCTCAGCCGCAGAGCAAGTTTGAGGTCAGCCTAAGCTACAAAAGGCCCTGTCTCAAAATTAATTAATTAAAAATAGAATAAAATGATGGGCTGACTGCCTGGGTACACTCTGGGCTCTGTCGCAGCTGAGGAGGGCTGCTCCTGGCATGTGGCAGGCTGCTAGACATCTTACAGTGCCCAGCTCAAGCTCTCTCTGGTAAACAAGTATCTCCTGACAAACGTCAGCAGTGCTGAGGATGAGACGCCCCGTTCGTGGAAAGCGCGGTGACAGCAACGGCCGATCTCCACCCTATTGTCACCTCCCGTGTGGCCTTTGTCAGCTGACCTCATCTTCCTGGGCCTCACACAGCTCATCTGGGAAACGGAGGCAGTGGTGGGGGGTGCTGAAAAGGCCACTCCAGAAGTAAAATGAGATGATGTCTGGCCTTTGCAAAGGTACCAAGGACACTGGCCGTAATTAATGTCGGAGCCAATTTGGGTGACGGGTGACAGGCACCTGCTTGTACCTGTATAGACCACTGGTCTTATTCCTCTTCTTCCTCCACTAAGGGAATAAGAGTCTCCCTGCAGAGGAGGAGTGAGTGGGGCCTGTCCCCCTGGCTGTCCACTCTAACCAGCTGCCACACTTGTCTGGAGGGTTGGAAGAGCTAGGACAGCCTATGCCCAGACAAAGCCTGTGCTGAAGATGTGCTCAGGACAACAGCAGTGAAGTGAATCAATTCTCCTTTACGACTCACTGCTCCAGGACAGACCCATGCTGCCCAGGCCATGCCCACCCTACCCTGGCCATGCACAGCCTGCTCAGGCCCACACTGCCTGGGTGAATACCCACCCTACCCTGGCCATGCACACCCTACCCTGGCCAT